GCAAAATTAAATAACATATTCAAAATAATCTTTTAATTTTGCGCCGCCTCCGAAAAGGTTGAAATGTATTTAATATAATACCTAACGAGTAAATAGGTTTCATTCATATCTGTTACGTAATTGTATGATTGAATGAAATAGAAATTACTTCATTAGGAAATAGAAATTATTTTATACTTTTTAGTGCATTTCGAAGTCGGTGTATTTTTTTTCTAAAAATTATTTTTTAACATTTACAGAGTGAATACTGTATTAACGAACTCAGATCATTTTCTAAATAGTCATATGGAAGAATACAACCTGAGATGCATAGGAAGCCTTAGACCTAGGTTCCGGCATCCAAATAACCTATTCACTAGTATTATTCAGCAAGCCCGGTCTTTAAGGCTTCTCCTAGCAAATCTATACGACTGCTGGCGAAAATCCTACCATGATTATTTTTTTCTACCTTAACTACTTGATACTACTTCAGGAGTTTCCCTCAAACAATCTGAAAACATTAACTTGAAATTCCAGGAGCTTTTTCACAAGAACTATAATGGATTTACGATTTATCCAGATGGGTCTGAAGTACCAACTGGCATCTCTACTAGCGCAGCATGGCTACGTCCAGAGCTTGGTCAGGCTGAAGCGTTGAATATCAGTGCTCATGCTTCTGTCTTTACTGCTGAATGCCTAGCTATCTCTAGAGCATGACCTAGTGGAAAATCACCCAGAAAGACGATTTATCATATGCACGGATTCGTTGAGTTGCATCCTAGCCTTAACCACATATTCGACATGGCAGACGGATTTCATCAAATCGGAATGAACGCCAAAGACGCTCCGAAAACGGTTTTTTCCACTGCGTTCGGGCATTATTGGTTCCATGCACGGAACCGGTGCTAAGCTACCCCGACTTCATTTCGTTTAGCATTACCACCGATGCGTTCGAGTTGGCTATAGGAGGAGCCTTAAGTCAAGGGAAAATTGGCCAAGATCGACCGATAGCATACGTCTCCAGACTACTCTACGGCGTAGAACTAAGTTACTCAACTATCGAGAAGGAACACATAAAGGAAATTCTTAATTACATAAAGAAAATTCTTAATAAAATACACAGTTTTGAATCATCCAGTCATCTTATATATAAACCAAGATTCTTATGGATACTTGCACATAAAAGTATATTTGGCAACGAAGAGGTTGATAAACTGGCAAAAAATGCCACAACAAATTTTCATCATCGGGTATGTATGAATCCATACAGTGTATGGATGAATGGATTAAGCGTTGGTATATATGCATCGCTCCAAATGGATGCTATTTTGAAGGCGATAAAATAAATGTACCCACAAACTAACAAAAAAACTATTTTATTTACAAATTCCTGGAACTTTTTTATTATAGTGTATCGTTGAGAAAATCAAGTAGAAAAAGGGGGAACTAGGAGTGCAAAATTGAAGGGAATTTCTGAATACGCTACATCCCAATTTCGAGAAGCAGTTGAAAAGTCAGTAACAATTGACGATGTTGATATTCGGAGATGGGCTTCAAGATGGGCTGATTACTTCGCAGCATCATCAAAATGGCATTACACTTTAAAAAAAAAATACAAGATTGTGTCACGAAAAGTTAACAAATTTGTAACTCAAAAGTCTGTGCTTGATCAAGTTAAACTTAAAGAACAGGCCACAGAGTTCTTTAAACAGACTTATTGCAGAAGTAGAGGAATGTAACACATATAATACCAATCAATCTGGATTTACTTTGGAAATGCATACCGGACGAACTCTATCCTTTAAAGGAGAATTAAAAATTGAAGCACTGGCCCAATTTTTGAATTCCATGACACACAGCTACACAATTCAACCACTTATTTCTACAAATGGTTTTTTATCATCTCCATTATTAATTGTATTGCAAGAAAAAGATGGGATATTCGGCCCGTGTTACGGATAGAACTAGCCGAACGAAGAATATCAGAGCATAAGAAAAGAATTTAAAAGTACACAGGCGATTCGGCGAAATTAGCGGGGTTTTCGGGGGCGGCTGGTCAAGAGCAGCAGGCATGGCTAGTCCCATATCTCGAAACCCTACGTGCACGAGAAACCTGTGGTCGTATTCGTCGAGCATCACGAGTGTTTCGGCATGAAAAACATCACTGTAGCACGGGGGGTATAGAATCCGCCCGAGAGTGGTGGTGTTCACCATACACCGAGGGCCACACCGCTCGGAAGAGGTGAGAACCCAGGCGTGGGCGAGCTAGCTTGCCCGCGCTCCGGCTGGCTGTCTGCGGGATCGATCCTACTCGAAAACGATAAATAATTAATTTTCTAAGAAATGTACACGTGCGTGGTGCACGTGGCATATGGCACATGGCACATGCTCTGAAATTCCAAGTAAAACGCAAATTAATAAGTATTTGCTCTACCGCGGAATGTCGGCGAATCCTGGTGCGCACTTCTGACGCGTAATTTCTGGAAACACGTGCAAAGGTGTGGACCGCTCCGTTTGATGACGGATACCGGAAAGTGCCGGTGCGACAACGATATCGGCGCGCGGCGTGGCGGCGCAAAGGCTCGGCCGCAAAGGGCGGGCGGCATCACAAGGTTCAGCGGTTCGGTCGTAGAGGGATGGTCGCGAAACAAAGGTCAACGGAAGGCACATGGCAGATTTCGGAGAAATCGGCATGGTTGCCAGGAGACGTCATAGGGGAATGAACCATATAAAATGAGCGAGGGCACCGGGGCCCGCACTTCATATTTGTCATTGCACAGAAACACATTCGTTGCTATCGTTATATCGCCAAATTGCTTGAACAAACTTTTTCGTCTAACACTCACTGCGGGACTTATTTAGAGTCATATATCGAACGGTCATCGAGTTACAGTTCTCACTGACGTTCTCATTGACTTCATAGTAATACGTTTGTTATACTTTTAGTGAAATACATTTGTGCGTTTCTCGTCGTCGTATAATTAAATTTGTTGTGATACAGCCCGCAAGTAAAAAACAATTTATTTACTCCTGAAAATATCTACGTACTGGCCTCTAAATCAGGAAAGCTAACATCAGAACTAGTCCAAGAATGGTTTAAAGAGATTTTCCTGGCATCTACTAACAATGAAAGTGTTCTATCATTAGATTCTTGGAGTGGGCAGAATTTAAGAATGTTTAACACCTTACCAACGTCTGGAAAATCCGTTCAAGTTAAGACCATTCCTGCTGGTACAACGAAGATGATACAACCCCTGGATGTCTTTTTCTTTCGTCTTTAGAAAAATTTTATAAGATATTTTTCAGATAATGTCATTTTACATAATTGTCCCATAAACTTGCATCACAGAAATAACGTGATTAAGCTGCAATCACTGACACACCATCAGTTTTCATCCCCACGATTTCAAAACCTCATTAAATACTCATGGTACAAAAGTGGGTATACAAAAGAAAAACCGTTGGAATTTGATAACCCCGTTGATTTCTGTTTCAAAAATTGTGAAACATCTTGTAGAATTTGCAACATGTGTGCAGTAATAAGATGTGCTTGGCGCAAAAAATCTTTGTGCATAATACATTTTTTTAACGAATACCATGTATGCAACACTTTTAGAAACTGATTTAATCGTTAAATCAGTCATTTATAAAATAAAAGTAATAACAAGAAAATAAATAAAATAAAAACACAAAAAACATAAAATTAAAACAAAAATTACAAAAAAAAAAAAAAAACCAGAAAGAATTAATAAAGTATGTGATCAATGTTTCCATAGACACTTTTTGCATACAATGAATGCTGCCATTAGATTTTTTTAAATTTCATTTTTAAGCTATATTGTTCAAACAATTTTGTTATTGGGAGTACAAATTAGTTCGGTCCGTTTTTTTGAGATCAAATATGCATTTATTTCAAAACAAAATGAATGAACAGGTTAATCAAAGTATTGTCCATCGTTGGCTACTACTTTTTCCCATCTCTCAGGCAATTTTCGAATTCCATCTCGAAAAAATGTCTCGTCTTTTGAGGAGATCCATGTTTGCAGCCAATTTTCGATTTCTGCGAAGGAAGTGAATCTGTGACCTGCCAAATTGTGTTGCATCTATCGGAACAACCAGTACTCGGAAGGAGCGATGTCCGGCGAATACGGTGGGTGCGATAAAATATCCCACTTGAGTGTTTCCAAGTAGGTTTTCACGATTTTTGCGACGTGCAGTCGAGCGTTGTCATGCAGAAGAATGACTGAGTCATGTCTTTACTCATATTCCGGCCGTTTTTCACGTAATGCACGACTCAAACGCATTAATTGCAGCCTATATTTATCGCCCGTAATGGAATCGCCAGGTTATAGCATCTCATAGTATACAACACCCTTTTGGTCCCACCAGATACACAGCATGACCTTCGAACCATGGATATTTGGCTTCGGTGTTGATGTTGCTGTCGGTAATAGCGATTGACCAGGCATTGCGTAGTATTTTTTCTTCTTAGGGTTGTCATAGAATATCCATTTTTCATCGCCAGTAACAATCCGATGTAAAGATCCCTTTCTTTTTTGCCTTTGTATCAGTTGCCCGCAAGTGACAAATCGCCTTTCAACGTCTCTTGGCTTCAGTTCATGAGGCACCCAATTGCCTTGCTTTTGAATCATTCCCATGGATTTTAATCTTACGGAAACTGCTTGTTGAGTCACTCCCAATGATTCTGCAAGCTCCTCTTGCGTTTGACACGGATCTTCGTCGAGTAATGCCTCCAAGTCTTTGTCTTCGAATTTCTTTGGCTGTCCAGTGCGAGGCTTGTCTTCAACGCTGAAATCACCATTCTTGAAACGTCGAAACCATTCCCTACATGATTTATCAGTTGGAGCATTGTCACCATAAACTTCCACCAGCATTCGATGCGCTTCAGCTGCACTTTTCTTCCAATTAAAGCAAAACACTAACACCTCCCGCAAATGCTGTTTAGTTAAAACAAAGTTTGCCATATTCAACACAGTAAAAAATAAGGTTTTTGTATGAAACTCAAAACGATATAAACTGAATATTATTAACAAATGTCTAACCTCTTTGAAACAATTGAAATTAGCTGTTACCATGGAACATTCATAACAGACAGAGACACCATTTCAAGACGGACCGAACTAATTTGTACTCCCAATATATTAAGCATGATCAGACATAATCAAATTTAACCAAGTCAAGTTTAATCTATGTTATATTAAACATG